ACTGCTCCGTTGTGTCATTGCTTCCTCCCCTCTGTACAGAACTTCCTTTTCCTCCTCCGTTTCTCTTCCATGACTCCTCCACTTTCCCTCCTTCGCTCTCCAACTCCTCTTCCTTCCTCTTCCTCCTCCCCTCTTCTCTCTCTCTTTCTGTTTGGTCACTGGTGACCAAAATGTCAGTGTACCATATGTTAGTATGCTAGTACAGATGGGACCCGTGCCAACCCAGCCAGTGATTGGTATAAGTCTCACACAGAAACTAGAAACTTTACCTTCTTCCCTTCTCCTTCTCTCTCTCATTTTGTTTAGTCCGTGCTGACTGGTACACTAATGTACTATGTATCAGTATGCTAACATATACCTAACCCAACCAATCCCACCTAACTACCAGTAGAGGTCTCGAACCAAGACTTAAAATATTGACCAATATAATTGCAAATGCAAATAATAAAAGTAAAAGAAAGCCCATGTTTTATAAAGGAAATTTTAATCTAGTTAACAGAATGGAATGTCTATTATGCATTATGACATAACATTCAACAGAATACACACAAGTTGGCTTTGTCATTGCTACATTGTTGCTTAACTCCATTATCTGCATTCAATAAAATATACACAAGCTGGCTTTGTTATTGCTACATTGTTGCTTTACTCCAAGACTGAGAAATTATTGTCTTATTTAAGCTTCCAGATCATAGGGCACATATCATTGCAAAGCATCATTACAATGTGGTTTTTGCACACCCTCAATAACAAATTGTATTCTCTTGGATTTATCAAGATATTTGACACTACAGAATAGGTTCCAAGTACTTGAACATTGGTAAATGGACCAGAGGAATAATATAGGAAAGCTTACAGAAAATTGATTAGGTCCTTTGTAGGATTACATCCAATAGGAAAAACAAATCTGAAGGATACCGACAATATATAGAAGAACTTTGGACTTTGGACTTTGGACTTTGGTGTTGCATAAACTGGATTAATTCAACTATATTAACACTTATTTTGTAAATCAGGCTTGAGAGTTTGTGCTCATCTTCCTTTTTGTCGTATCTGTATGTACTGAAATAAACTATACTTGAGATAAAAAGGCACAAGGGAACTCTATCATAGTAGGAATTTTTCGGAACAGATACCTGAAGTTACAATCAGCATTATTTTATTCTTAGAATCAGCATTTTGTAAAATAGCAAGAGCATCAAGAAAGAAGAGGGAATCTATCTCCAGAATAAAAAATTGTCAGAAACACCATTCATTAATATAGCATCGAGTTCTGAAAAATCATCCAGTGGTTATCCAGATCTAATTCCAATAGTCCCAAGAACTAACTCCAAAGAAACAGAGTGCTGATTGTAGCTGCCAGACCTTGGTGGGCTTAACTGACTAAAGCTAACCCACAGCAGTTCATCAATCCTAAGTGCAAAATGGTCCAGAGTGGTCCGTGCTGCAGCCAGCAGTGCTGATTTTGACCAATCAGAACCATTTCTAGTACATATTGGCTGTTCTCATCAGCATAGCATATGAGAACAATTTCCCATTTGAAGTTTTCTTAATTTTTTCTTTTCTTAATTTAGTAAATTTTCAGTAAGACAAACACAAGGATCAATGGTGAGAAAATATTCATGTAGCTGACTCCAAATGGTTGGAAATACAGTTTGTTCTACAAGTGGTTGCTGTCCAGTAAGACAGATATATTCATCTACATTTAAGACTTGTGATAACTTTGTAGTCATGTTTACTGACGTTTTCAAAATATATGGCATTTTACTAGTTCGACTACTGACCTATCTTCCCTTGGATGAAATTGTGTGCTAAACATTTTGACTTTATAGTTCTTTTTAATATTTGACATTGCAAGTAATGAATCAAATATAGAATCTGTGCAAAGCTCTATTGACACAGGATCCAAATAAAAGTAAGGGGCAAGAATGGACCAAGCACATTAAAGATGTATAGCTAGTCAACTTCACACGAATGTTTGGGAAGCTACACCTTCTACAGAAGTAAAATAATATGCCAACAATGTGATAAATCATACAGCTGTTTTATGTAGCTGAAATTTTAACCGATGTGGCCAAGATGAAAAGGCATGAGCAAAGGTCAAAATGTAAAAATGCCTGGAATAGTGCAAAACTTAGCTAAGGAGTTTGGAACAAAAAGATCATATACAAGTAAACAAATAAGAAAACTAAACAAATGAAAGTAAAAGCACGTTGGAATAGACCTTATTTTCTTGTTCAGCTCGCACATACTGTTAACAAATTCGTCTCTGCATCCACATAAAGATCGTGATTGAGTTTATACAGTTTTTAGTATATCGCACAAGAACAAAAAACTAGTATTACCGCATGAAACGCACTTCACTCTGTTCACCGATGCCAGGTGGATTAAGAAGATCAAATAACAAGGTCAAAGTTCGAAAACAAAGAATGACAATAACGAAAGAAAATCTAACAACATTTGAGAGCACGAGAGCGATTCTCACCTTGAGTGTATCCAGATCAGAACGGAGCTTCAATATCTCCTCCTGCAGCAGAGAAATCCTCGCCTACGCACGATAGTTACTATTAGAAAAGGATTTACAAGATCAATCGGCAACTAGAAAGGACGCGTAATCAGAACCTCTTGCGCATGGATTGATGCACCAATCATAGAAAGCTGAACCTGCGATCCCCTCAGCTCCTGCTCGACCATCTCCCTGGACCGCTTGGCCCCATCGAGGTCGGCATTTGCAACATTGAGATCGTTCTGAAGTTCGAGGAGCCGCTTCTTACGATCGGACACCCTAAGCTCTGTGTCGAAGACATGCGGATTGAGCGGGGCGCATCGGAGCTAGAGTGGAGGCACGAGAAGCATGGAGCGGCCATAGTGTACCTTCTTGGGATTTCTCCGAGGCGAAATTGCGGATCAGCGAGAGGAGATGTTTCTGGGATTCGCCGGACGCCATGGCGAGAAGGCGCCCCGAGGGCTCGGAGATGGCAGCCTAGCTTTTTGGGGAACAGCACTCGTCTCCCCCTCTTTGGTTCGAGCTTCAGCACGTGAAGAGAACGAAGGAGAACATAAGCGCGCATCGGCTCAAACTCGAGCTCGTTTTTGACTCGGATCGAACTCAAACACGAATTGAATTGATCGTTTTGACTCAATAAGAGTTATTAAAAATATTATATAGTAAAAATTTTGGATGATAATTTGATTATTATTATTTGTTAATTTCAGAATAATCTGGTCCGTCAATCCAGCTATAACAAATCATTGATTGACATCTCAACTCAAATATCGGAGAAAATAAAGTATCAATTAGGCATGTCATATTGGGTATAAAAAAATATTCTTTATTAAGTTTGTTTACAAATCAAATATATACAATAATTTTTTTAGTTATATTATCATTTAAAACTCACTAAACTTATTTAAATACTCAGACTTCTTAAAAATATTTATCATAAATTAAAACTAACTTAATTATCAAAGGAATCTTATTGTAGATTTTTTTTTACCCTTAAATCGAAATAGGATATTAGATACATATATTTTATTATGCTTCGAAATGAAGGCATGCCAACTACGATATTCATTTAGGAGTCTCAACCAGTGATACTTGCGTTTGAACATAGCTAAGTGGTGCTTTGATTACTTGTTTTTATCTTAACAAATAGATTAGGGGCAATAGGGATGCTTTGGCTCTAGTCGATCATGTTAAATACTTTGACTATTTTATATCGTAGTTACACTCTACACATCATAGGCAAAAGGGACACAACGATTATATTAGGTGCTCATATGCTCATTTGTCTTGAGTGAATACATCATAATAAAAAAGGATATGTTAGTTTATTGAATATTTAAGATATTTTTTATTCACAATAGACACTTATATTACGTGCATTTTAAATAATTTTATTTTTCTAATAGAAGTATCACAAAGGAGATGCATTGGCCATAATCAGATTTTGTTTTTGTTTTTGTCAATGACAAATACATGAAAATGAGATGGTTCAATCCTGTCATGCACTTCAAATTATTTCTTTATCATACACAGATGTATCACAAGTGCACCTGCTCGTTTGGGGAGGCTCCTCCATTTACCTTTTCCTTGAACCTTGATGTAGGACACAAGTATGTGGTCTTCCTGCGCAGTCCACGCTCCTGTCCTGAGCCCTTCCCTTGCACAGCATGGCTTCCTTCCCATCTCTCTTTCTCTCTCTCTCGTTTGAAAGAAGCTTGATTAGTTGTTGGCGACATCTATAGGTCCTCAACTGTACGAGACAATTTCTCTGATCACCGTATGATATTAATTGTGAGGAGCCATCGCTGACATTACAGCACCCCTATCGAGTCGACGTCGAGAAAAATTCTTACTGTCTGATATCACACAACTGCCAAATTTCTCCTCGTATGTGGCAGTCCCCCCTTTCCAGATCCTAGGCGGATCTGCCCCCCCACTTGTCACCCACAGTCGGTCGTTCGACGACAGCTTCCCTGCTTCCAGTCTCAACCACGGCTACCGCACCAAGTTCCAAGCCTACGGTGCCACGCCAAGCATTTGTTGGGCCCAGTCAACGCATTTGGTGACTTTGCATCGCGGGAGCATGCACTCTTGGTTCCTCCTTATTGCAGAATTTTTTTTTTTATTCTTCCTCCCTCCTTACCGTAGAAAAGTACCAACACTTCTTTCTTTTTATTTTTCTTCCTCTTTATTGTAGAACTCGTTGATTCTTCCTGCATTCTTACTGCAAAAGTACTAACACTTCTTCCTTTTTATTTTTCTTTTGATCCTTGTCATTGCTACTTACTTCAACTTGCTCCCACATAGTAGTCCATATCTTCCATTTGTCTTAATCATCCACCTCTGTTGCTCCACTTACTATTCCAACAGGGAATTATAGTACTTTCCCACATACAAATCTTATCTCCATAAATGCAGCATCCCTCATCCCTTTCAAATTATCCAAAGGTGACAACTACGCATCCTGGCGTGCTCAATTTTCTAATATTCTATTTGGTTATGACCTTCTAGGCTATATCGATGGCTCTCTTCCTTGTCCACCAGCGATGATCAAAATCCCAGGAGCATCCAGTCCAGTATCAAATCCGGACCACAAACTATGGTTACGCCAGGATCGTCTCATTCTTCAAGCAATTCAAGCTTCAGTCATTGGATCCCTCGCCCCACTCATATCTTCGTGTGACACTACTGTCGAAGCCTGGTGCAAGTGATGAGGATATAAACAGGAATAACCTTTGTATATGAACAAATACTAGAAGACCATAATACGCAACGGAATTAAATGGAACCACAATAAAATAGAACACCAAGATATACATGGAAAACCCCTTCAATGTGAAGGGTAAAAACCACGGGGCAAACTAGAGACAATCCACTATAAGAATAATGAATATACAAATCACAATCTCTTGCCCTAAACCCTAGCAACAATCACAAGAGAATAACTGAGATACAAGGATCACGTCACTGCCCACAATATCTAAAACCTCCCCAAGTAATCACAGCAAGAGTCTACTGTAGATTTGATCTAACCTGAGAGAACACTGCTAGATGATTGAGAACAGTCTCTCTGCGTTGTCCTTGTCTTCTTCTCTTTCTTTCTCTTCTTTTTCTGCCTTGTTTTCCTCCTTTTCTTTGGAATCTCGTAGCTGTTTTCTTCTCCCACGTTGCTGCCCTATTTATGCCTTTTTCTGCCTCCAAAACATAGCCACCACACCCTCCTAATGTTAATTAGGGTTAGGTTAAGAGGGAGTATGGGTTGTGGGCTGCCCAAGCCCACTATGGACTGAATTTGTGGGCTGCCAACCCAACAACCTTCCCCTTCAGCCCATTAGGGAGGCTGTCCCATGACTTCTCAATGTGAAGCCATGTCGACCAGTTGTCGGCATATCTCCTGCCTTTCTTTTGGTAAGGTCTTCATTCCATTTGGTAGCAGTACCAAATCATTAGTGTGGTTCTTCTGAAGAGCATCCATCTCTTCCTGCATAACAACTAACCACTTCTCTTTCTGCTCACATTCAACTGCTTCCTGGTAACTCTCTAGTTCACCTGCATCAGTAAGCATCACATACTCATATGTAGAGTATCTTCTGGAAGGTTGACGTTGTCTAGAAGATCTTCTCAACTGAGGTTTTGTTGGAAGTTGCTCTCCAACTTCTTCTTGCTCAACATGTCCTGCAGGTAAATCAACATCAAGCTCTACACTATCTTCCTGCACATCTCCCCCATCACCTTGATATACTGGAAGAATAACTGGGTCACAATCTGCTAATCCTTCTGCAGAAGTATTGACTGGTGCCTTCTTCTTCAAATCTTCAAAGGTTTGATCCTCAAAGAAGACTACATCTATGCTTCTAAACACCTTCTGCTTTTTTGGATCCCAAAGCCTGTAACCAAAATGATCATATGGGTAGCCAAGAAAAATACATTCTTTAGTCTTACCATCCAGCTTGGGCTTCTCATTGTCTGGAATATATGCAAATGCGCGACAACCAAACACTCTTAAATGCTTGTAGGAAACATCTTTTCCTGACCATATATGCTTTGCAACATCACCATCTAGGGCTATACATAGTGATAAGTTGATCACATCAACTGCAATCCTTAAAGCCTCATCCCAAAACCTTTTGGGTAGCTTAGCTTGTGAAAGCATACATATGATCTTTTCCATGATGGTGTGGTTCATCCTCTCTGCAATTGCATTATACTGAGGTGTACCAGGAACTATCATCTCATGTTGGATCACATGTGACCTGCAATAGTCATTAAACAAACCTGTATACTCACCACCATTATATGATATTATGCATTTCAATTTCCTTTCTGTCTCCCTTTCAACCCTAGCATGAAACTCTTTGAAGACATTAATCACCTGATCTTTAGTCTTCAAAGCATAGGCTCAAACTTTCCTGGAAAAAATCATCTATAAAAGTGACAAAATAAAGTACACCACTTATACCAAGAACATCAACAGATCCACCATGAGTTATTGTCCTCAAAGGATCACATATATCTGTATAAACACGGTCTAAGGCATGCATTTTTCTAGACAAAGTAGAACTAGCAAATGAAACTCTATGTTGTTTACCTGCTAAACAATCAATACAAGGGTTCAGATGTATACCTTTGAGGTTTGGTAATACCTCTCTCTTTGAAAGAGCTTGCAGCCCTTTCTCGCTCATGTGTCCCAATCGCCTATGCCACAACTCTATGCTGAAGTCTTTTTTTATAGCATTTAACTGCTCATCATAAGCTTTAGCCTGCAACCTGTACAAAGTATGACATTTCTTTCAATTAGCTATAACAAGAGAACCCTTACTGAGCTTCCATTGCCCTTTGTGAAATCTGCTATCATAGTCTTCATCATCTAGCATTCCAACTGAAATTAGATTCAGCCTCAAGTCAACCACATGCCTCACATCCTTAAGCACCAACTTGCAGCCTAGGTTGGTCTTTAAATGGATATCAACCATGCCTATGATGTCTGCTGTGACATAGTTACCCATCTTGACAACACAAAAATTTCCAAACGTGTATGTAGCAAAAAACTCCCTCTGTGGTGTAGCATGATAAGAAGCACCTGTGTCAATCATCCACTCAAGATCCTAACACACACAAAAAAAAATATCATCAGAATGAGACAAAATCAAATAATCACCACCCTGCATTGTAGCTATGATATTATCTTTTGACTCTATAGACTCTACTTCTTTTCCCTTTTTCTTGCTCTTCTTAGGTTGTTTACATTGGTTCTTGTAATGTCATTTCTCACCATAATTATAGCAAACAATATCTTTTCTTGATCTTGACTTGCTTCTACCTATGCGTGAACTGCTTCTAGACTTTGACCTTCCTCTGTTCTCTGAGATAAGTGCATGTGAATCATTCTGAGATGTTGCCAAACTCTTTCTTCTCAACTCCTTATTCAACAAATTGCTTGTTACTTGACTCATAGTGACAACACCATCTAGCGCAGAATTACTAAGGGAAACCACCAGTGTC